AAGATGCATTTGAATCTCTTCATTCCAGAATTCTTTGCTATAATATGCAAAACATGCTTCACATACAACTCCTACAGATGAAGAGTGGTCATGAGGCCCAAAACCTTGGCAATGAATGTCCATTTAAAATACAATTAACACCAAAATACAGATTCCAGACAAAAACATCAGAGTTCAAATAATTAATGGACAACATGAATCATTAAAAATCAGAGAGGGGTTAAATATTGGCACCCAGGAAGCACTGAAAAGCGCCCTGTCCCTATGCAGAATTCAAGCATGTGTATGCAAAGGCACCTTTCAAACATTATTTCTGCAGTTTTAAAATCTCTGTTAGTGTTTGTTTAAAAAAAGGAAACAAGATCCAGGCAGTCTGGAGAGGAACATAAAGTGAAGGTGTTCGGTCTCGACCCAGATCAGAAACGGAAGGCTAACATGTGGTGTAGACCCAGAGAAGCATTTCTTAAAAAAAAAAAAAAAAATTCAAACCCATGCTCTGTTGTCTATTCCCTCCTGGTTTTCCCCAAATACCAACTGCCTCTCCTGAATGTTTCCCTTTCTTTCTAACACCGGAGCAAATTATTTTAAACTTGACCTATTGTGCCCTGTGAGCAGTGGTGCTGGAGAGAGACTCCCCATCCAGCCTGTAAAGGGTTATCTGCCTGGTCTATGGGACCTTACGACAGAATTTCCTAGATAAAACTTGTTCCCTGGTGGATTAAGGGAGGGATACATCATGGCAGGATGCTGATAGAGAGCTCAGCTCTCCATAGGAAGGCCTGGAAAGAAACGGAGGTCTATGGGAGCAATTTTTCACCGGGCTCTGTCCTCGTACTTTTCCAGCCCGCTTTTAAAATTCAGCTGTGATGCAAGAAAAAGACGTCAACTGATTTGTAAGTGACATTGGATCAGGAAAAAAATGTTTGGGAATAATGGAGGGTGTGGTATTTCCCTCTCCATTGCCCTCTTTAGTTCCTCGTTACAGGAGCCCTCTGGTACTGTTGGCCTTCACAGAATCCCATTTGCCCTGTGGCTCGGAACACATAACCTGCTGCCATCCCGCACGGGTAGTTTAAGAGCTGGGGCTGCTCGCGAGGAGGGATGCCTACCCCAGAATTCCCAGAAATGCCTTAAAAAATAATCGGTTACAAGGTTTCAGTTCCTCAAATCACGCCCTTAATCAAGACACGTTCCACACACTGCCTGGTGCGCCTATGGCAGCAAGGGAAGCAACTTGGGCCGTGCCGCCAAGTTTCAGGGTGGCACTGGAGATGGCAGACTACAGCAGTGCATCAGAGACAAGTCCAGGGGCTCTCCTCCATGGCGGTATGGAGCGGGCACATAGAGGACCGGTCATAAAGCCTGAAAGAGCAGTACCGGTCCATGCACCAGCGACTGGGAACAAAGAGCCCAGAACTTGTCTGTACCGCTCTGATTCCGGCTTTCTCTAGCTGCGCTTTTATTGCGTGAAAGGAATATTTCAGCTTCCTATTTCTAGGAACACATGCCAGTGGCTACACTGTTACAATAAAATATGAACACTGCATTGTGCAGAAAATGACCATTCATCCTGTAATCTGCAGTCATTTTTACTCATTCTGCACATTTCCTTAAATAACCAAGTGCATGAAGTAGATGGGAGTGTGTTTAAATAAACTGAAATAGATACAGCATTAATAATTAAAGCCGGCAGGGAAACGTGCATTACGAGCTGCTAGTAGAAATAATTATGGATTTGTCTTATTTACCTGGAAATGGCATCAAAATAGCGCACGTTAGTGAAAATGCCTTAGTACTATTTTCACTCTATAACACTATATCTCTCATTTTGAAGAGTACATCAAATACAGTTTGGACCTCTACACTGCCTGGTGGTATGAGATATTTAAGGAGTTGGCAATAAGGTTCCCAGCACATACTATGTCAAATAGCACTGATTTAAGGAAGACTGTTTTCAAACACGTGCACGGTGCATGAACCCTGCAAATATCCATTAGTGTTATTAGACATTGTACAAGTGAGCTGAGTATACGCTCCCTAAAATCACAGCACAGTAAATATCAGAAGGCTGATGGCAATGGTAGATCACAGCGTCATTGGAAACAGTACTCAAAGTGCTTACACCTTTGTAACATTGTTAGGTATTAAACAGGCTGCTTTTTAATTAGAACTAATCTAATTGAAATTCAGTGGCTCTCGTGTGTTTTGCAGCTCTTGCAAACTGCTTTATAGCAAACAAAATCGATAATGAAATATACTTCTGATATGAGGGCTGGCTAAGCTATGACTTCAATCGACTCCAAAATGCTGTGGATTTAATTATATTTTAGAATAATTGCTTGGCACAAGAAGAGTTTACTAAAAATTTACTAATTCCTTCTGATTGGACTGTCCAAAAAAAAAGTTATTCTTGCAGCATGATTACTAAATTCGAAGTGAAAGAGGAAGCTACTGTGCTAACTCCTTGTCAAGAAGAGAGGCAATTACTTGTCAATCAAATAATTTAAAAGTGATAGTGCGACAAACAAACCCAGAGCAGAAACAGGAACAAGGTCCTAAAAATCCTGCAGGATGGCTGCAGAGCAACGAGCCTCGTCAAATGAAGAAAATATCCTCCAGGATCCGGCTCTCCTCAAGCTCCTCTATTTCGCTTCGGGTACCATGAGGGACTTGGCACCAACCAGGTTTTCTGGGGCTCCCGTTCCGAAGGGCCTGGGCGTCATTCCAGTCGTAAGATTCTCTGCGGGGGTGTCTCGGGGCAGCGATTGGACTCATTGCTTCAACCAGGTCAATAAGGGAGGCCTCATACCTGGAGGAAAACACCATGAAAATGCAGTCCTATTAAACACCGCAGCAGCAAACAGTTTGGACTGAACATTCCTACCGCCGTCATCCGAACTAGAGCAAACTTCTGCACTAGGCAGAAGGGATCCCAGGACTGCAACTGCTGCTAAGGCGAGGGCTAAGGTGGAGGCAGTGAAGGAGAGGCAAAGTGAAGTGGCTAGTTTATTATGCAGGTGCTTTATTTTGATTGGTCAGTCTCGCTGGGTTCCCCATTGAATTGGACAGTGTCTCATTTACAGCTCAGAGATTCAGGCTGGATTCACAGACATGACAGTTCAACAAGTGACTTACAAACAGGCTGTACTTTCCTAAATAGGCTCTACCCTTGATTTATGTCCCTAGAGATTTGAAAACCACAGGCACCTTTATCCTTAGCGCTACAAACCACATGTGCTTCTTATCAATCTCCATGCAATATATGGAATCTATGTGTAATGGAGGGACTGAGGGAATAGAATCCAAAGCAACACAAAATCAACAGTTCAGGCATCCAGAGAAAAGGTAAAGATGCTAAATGTTATTAAGCTGTCCTTCAAGTGTTGTGATTTAAGAAGTGGTGGTGGTTACCAACCTACACGTACACAGAGAAATGGCAATTACTCTAGACAGCTTAGACAGAGCCTTCCTATTAATACACGGGATCAGATCAGATCGACACACCTTACAGGACTGATTATTACAATACATTTTCTATTCTTATCGTCTGTCAGTTTTAAATGTTTCAAGCAACTCAGCATCCACCACTTCCCCTGAGAAGCCATTCCCTAGTTTAGGAAATCTCTGAGGAAGTTTTCCTGATTTCCTGCCTCAGCATCCCTCTCCCTACGGTCCATCATTTTATTGCTAGTTATGCTTCCCAGTTCCAGATCAACACCTTTTTCCACACGGTGGTTACATCATCAAATAATAATGGATCAATTACTAATAACTGACACACACAGTGGCCTTGTCTACACAGAATGGAAGAGCGCTGCTGCCGCAATCAATCTTCCAGAGTTTGATTTAGCAAGTCTAGCTAGGACTCGCTAAATCAAACTCAGAGGGTGCCCCTGCTGGCATCCAGCACTCCTGCTTTTGCAAGGAGTAAAGGGAACTAATAGGAGTGTTTGCTCTCGTCAGTCTCCTGCTGCGAGGAATGCCACCAAGCTCTAATTAAGATAAGCCAACACCAGCTACATATTCTACGGAGCTGGTGCTGTGAACCTTAAGCCAAGATGCCGGGTCAGCATAGGCCTGGCCTGAAAATTCTCTGTACAGGTACTCAGAGCACTTGACAAAAGGTGAGGCATTAGCTGGGCCCAGTCGTATTTCACTCTTGTGGAAGCTGCCACAGAATGTATCCCTTGCTTTGGAACTGTGACCCAGAGCTAGGCTCCAGACCACCAAAGCTAACACCAAACACATTTGTTAGTTTTTAAGGTGCCACAGAATTCCTTGTTGTTTTTGCTGAAACAGACTAACATGGCTCCCCCTCTGACATGCATGTTTCTCATCATTAGTGTGGGGGGGAACTTCTTAAAATGTCAGTCTAGTGTAATCAAACACTGGCGCCTTCCTGAGTGTGCAACAGTCTGAACTAACAATGCCAGGACATGCGAACTGTCTCTGTGCTTTTAACTGAGGGTCAATTCTAAAAACGAACGGAGAGAATTTAAATGTCACCAGCTTGCTATTCCACCACTGATCATTCTAGCAGAAACAGGTCACTGATATGCTTCTGCTCAGTCATCTCCCACGACACGCCAACAGTCCAACTCCAGCTGCCTACCACCATCATCTCCGATGTGCCTACATTTACAGCTCTTCTGTCATCGGTCTGTTCAAAGGAGCCACAGATAAGCAGCTCAAATAAAATAAACACAGATTTCTACTGAACATGACCACTTCAATGGCAGACCCTTCTTTACCATCACACGTAATGAGTATCCAAGACATTCAGAAGTTAATAGATTTTGGGGGTCCAACTTTAGAGTCTTGAAAAGGGGCTGCATTTTCTGTATGTGTGGAGTCCTTCTGAAAATGGGGTTCTTCTAAGGTAGGGGTGGGCAATAATTTTTGATGGAGGGGGCACGCCAAGATTTTGGTAAGTGGTCAAGGGCCGCACATTTCTATGGAGGGTGTGTGGGGTGTGGGGTGGAAGTTGGGTGCAGAAGGGAGCTTGGGGTAGGGGACTGGGGTGCAGGAAAGGGTGTGGGGTCTGAGAGGGAGTTTGGGTGAAGGAGGGGGTTGTGACCTGGGGCAGGGGATTAGAGTGTAGGGTCAGGGATGGCGTCTGGGTGCACGAGAGGTTTCTAGGTGGGGGAGGGGTGTAGGAGGGATGCAGGATCTGGGCAGGAGTTGTGACCTGGGGAAGGTGGGTGCAGAGGGCTTGGGTGGTGACATGGAGCAAGGAGTTGGGGTGCAGGAGTGGGTGGGTGCCAGAGGCAGGCTCTTGCCTGGCGGCTCTTACCTAGGTAGCTCCTGGCCAGCAGCCCAGCAGGACATGGAGACAGGCTTTGTCTGCTGTTGTCCCAAGCTGTTCAAAATGGCTGCCTGCTCCTTCCATGTGTCCCTATGCTCCATGTGCGGGGTGAGGGAGACATCATGGGCTGCCCCTGCTCCCTACCAATGATTGCAGCACCCACGGCTGCCTTCCAGCCAATAGGAGCTCTGATGACTGGGCTGGGGCTGTGGAAACTCTTGAAATCTCTGCCACTGCCCAAGAGCTACACAGCACCCAGTGGGAGCAGCCTGAGGGGGTAGCAGGCAGAGAAGCTGCCATGAGGTCTCAGCAATGACAGCCGAGGGCCAGATAAAATGGCTTGGCAGACCGTATCTAGCCTATGGGCCGTATCTTGTCCGCCTTCGTTTGAAGGCATCTCAAGATAAGCCACCCAAAGTCCCTTTTAAAATCTGGTCCCACAACTTGACAGTGATGATCTTTTCACTCATGGAACGTTTGAACCAGACCCAGACATATACAGTCCACACACTAAAAAAAGAGAGACTTAGCTCTCGGAAACTCTGGTTTCATTAGCCATTTTTACACTCCCTCTCCCTCCCCCACACATTAGATTCATCTAGCCTAACACGCAAATGCTTATCTCCCTGCCTGTGGCTCTATCAGAAAATTTCAATTTCTCCAGCAGCCACATTCAATCGTAGATTAGTTTGGGGGTGGGGAGAGGCGACACAAATCAGCAAGTGTGTTTGCAATGAACATACAGCTCCCAGATTTCAACCGCACCTTGGAGCTAATTTCTTCTGCAAGTTTATCTAAGTTTTACAGCATTTCTGCTATCGGGAAGGCTAAATGATTTGGCAGATTACAAGAGCAGCAAATAGCAAAGATTATTTAAAAGACCAGGCATTGTAAATCAGTCTATTTGACACCACAGTTATATATGCAATAAAGCGAACAAACTCTGCCAACGGAGCATTATCTGATAAAGAGAACGCTCCTTGCAGGTATTTAGTGTTTAATCCCATGAAAATAGTTTGCCCTGATTTGTCTAGGTGACATCAGACAGCATCTGGCTGGAGGCAACAGAGTTGATCCAGCATGGCTTGAACCTCACAAAGGCAATTTTCCCAACATTTACTTGTAGCCGAATATTTAAAGGGACACTAACAACATGCTCAGATCCTGAAATATATCTTCTCTGAAAGAGAGCATATGTGCCTCTAGTACACGTCGACTAAAAACATTAAAAAAGAGTTCATTACTATTCATGTAGCACTGTAGATCTGCATGACACTACTGTAAGGTGGGTGCACAGTTGCTGGGAAAAGTGTACGTGGAGCATTTATCTATAGTTTATAATCAAACACAATCAAGTCTGGTCCTGCACACATCTGTCCTGGGTGTGATTTTATTTAATATCTTCATAACTGATTTAGATAATGGCATAGACAATACACTTATAAAGTCAGCAAATACCACCAAACTGGGAGGTGTTGCAAGTGCTTAGGAGGACAGGCTCAGAGAAGTAGCCATGTGAGTCTGTAACTTTAAAAAAAAAAACGAGTAGTCCTGTAGGACCTTAGAGACGATACATATATTGTATCCTGAGCTTTCATGGGCAAACTCCACTTTCTCAGGTGAGCAGAGTGAGGATCAGAATTCAAAATGACCTGGACAAACTGGATAAATAGTCTGTAGTAAACAGGATGAAATTCAATAAGGGGAAATGCCAAGTACTCCACCTGAGAAGGAGCAAGTAATTGCGCACTTACAAAATGGCTGTCTAGGAAGGAATACGGCAGAAAAGGATCCATTTTGTACATGGATCACAAACTAAATATGAGTCCACACTATGAGTGTTGTGAAACAAGCAAACATCATTCTGGAGACATTCGAGAAGCAATGCTTCCATTCTACTCAGCACCTGATAAAACCTCAGCTGGAATATTGTGTCCTGTTTTGGGCACCATGCTTCTGGAAAGATGCGGACAAACTGGAGAAAATCCAGAAGAGAGCAATAAAAATGTCAAGAAAACATAAAACAAGAGGAAAGATTGAAAAAATTGGGTTTGGCTAGTCTGGAGAAGGAAGACCGGGGGAGGGAGTATATGTTAACAGTCTTTCAAGAACATAAAAGGTTATGCTAAAGAAGAGAGTGATAAATTCTTCTCCTTAGCCACTGAGGAGAGGACAAGTAGTAATGGGCTTAAATTGCAGCAAGGAAGATTTAGGTTAGATATTAGGAAAAACGTAAAGGTCGTTAAGCACTGGAACAAATTGCCTAGGGAGGCTGTTGAATCTCTATCATTGGAGGTTTTTAAGAACAGGTTAGACAAACACTTGTTAGGGATGGTCTAGATAATACTTAGTTCTGCTTCAGTGCAAGGGACAGGATTAGATGACCCGTTAAGGTCCCTTCCAGCCCAACATTTCTAAGTTATGATTCTATGATGTCAACAGCTGCAAGACTAAGTGATTCAGAATTAGGAAATTTCAGCCATTCAAGTTGCTCTTGCAGTCTT